GCCAGGTGAGGATACAATGTGGAAGTTATTAAATAGCAAACTCCTGGAGGAAAAGGCAATCATTTTGAATATATGCCATTGTCAACAACAGTTCTGCTGGTCTTCCTCACGGCCAAAGTGTTTACTGCGGCACAGATCTTTTGTTTAACCAGGACAGTCCCTCTGAGAGATAAAATCTCATCTGCAAAGCTGTCCTTGCCGAGATGATAGCAGTTCAAAGCGACGCTAAATTACAACTCATACCCAAAGGTTAAAAAACATCAGTGGTGACCAAAGATGTAAATGAAAAAACGCAATAGTCCAGCAGGTTTTTACTTGTAGTACATTTGTTTAAAGTCACATGTGGTCAAATGTTGTTTATTTGAGAGCTTTAATTAATCATTTTCACACTCAAAAGAAAAACCTGCTTTAATCCTTAAAAACAAATTGAGTTTCAGCATTAGCTCTTAGCTAAATACTTTTCAGACTTAAAGAGGAGAGAATCCTATGCTGAAATAAGTGTCTCTTGATAAGAATGGTTGATTAAAAAAGGGAAGTAATGAAAAATTACCCCAGACATGATCTCTTGAGAACATCTAAAGACGTTTAAAGAGTTTAACTTCCTCTTTTATGCACAATTCTATTAAATTATTTTACACTGAATTAAAATGTTGTGAAAGCTCAATGCTTAGAAGATATTTTGTTTTAATAAGCCTTGGGGAGGTCAGTAAAAGGTGTCATTCATCAGCTTAATAAAATTATATATGGTTCAAGTAGTTGCATTGCCTGCTTTTCTAAAAAAAAAGAAAAAAGCTGATAGTTTAAATTGAGATCTGGAGGCTATCAAGACCACTGGAATACAGTGAACTCATCAACATATGGAGATGAACTGAGCTTTTGATATGGAACATTGTCCTGTTAGAAGAAGACTACAGATGATGGGTTGACAGTGGTAAAAAAGGTGATGGACATGGTTATCTACAACACTCAGGCATGATGTGGCAGTGAAATGTCTACATGCTCAAATGCAATTAGTAGCTACTGTAGAATCGACTGATACAGTATTTGGGTTTTCCATGCAGTTATACAGGTGGACATGTTAAAGTGACGCATGAAAGTAAAACATCTTATGTTTTATCACTCTTTCTGTCACACTTTAAATAGTATGTAATATGCATCTGTCATGACAAAGGAAAGAAAAACCCAGTATTCAAAACAAGGCAGACTGTAGGATATTTCAAAGTGTTTATTCAAAACAAACAGAGCCGTGGTAGTAGTGGCTACACTGTTGCTCATTGGAAACTCTGCAGAAGAGAAACACAGGTTAGTGACCATGATAATCTGATGGAGGATGATTATCCATGTGAGTCACTAACCTGGTTTAACAGTTCAGTCCATCGCCAGAGAACAAGGTAGGATCCAGCCAGTGGGCTGCCAACAAGTTGTGCCTGGTCCAGGTGTCCAAAGTCTGGTCAGGGATACAGATCAGAACAAGAACAGGCTGAGGGTTCCAGGAGTCTACAGACAGTTCAGGCAAACCATTCAGATGGGAACAGGCAGGCCCAGTGGTTGAGAGGCAGACCAGGTCAGGATCCGGAAATCAGAAACAATATGATACGCTAAAAACCTCTCTCACCACTGGCCAGTAAAAACAAGACAAAGATAATCTGTGCCTGATAGCTGGATGCAAGTACCTTAAATACAGGCAGAAGCAGGTTGATCAGATAAGCGGTAATGAGCAACCGGGCAGTGTTAGACAGGTGAATGGAATAAGCAATTAAACCATCCATCAGTGCCAAGATCGTCACAGCATTATAAAAGAAAAATAGCTGAAGTGGTGATTTCTCCCTCTTTTCTAAGGGTACAAACAAATACTTTGCTAATTATTCAATGGTCATCCTCTCACAACATTCTGCAGTAAGGACTAATTTATATTCAAAGTAGTCCTTATTACACTTGGCCTCTACTTATCTCCCTTTTTATTTTGTTCCTCCCACCAGAGCATTGCATTATGGCAGCATGTACCTTCTCTGTGTAGATAAAGCTTGCTGTAATGAGTTTGTGCTGCAAACTTCTTCTGCCAGCAGTAATCTGCAGATGGCAGCATGAAAATCAGTATGAGTTAATGCAGTCGCCACGAGCGGGATAATGTTCCATCTGTCGAATCCCTGTCACCCCACAGCTATGCCTGGCTCCCAGCAAACATTGTGACATTGAATCGTTGCCTGTAACTAAGCCAAGATACGCTGGTTGACTGTTTCCTATACCAGGATGTTTACATGCTGGTATCAGTTGACAAATATCAGCCAAGCTGGCTTAATCTTTTGTTGATGCTCACGTGATATTTCTGATTTGAATGGTACTGCTTCTATCTTCTAACATCATATACCTACATGTGAAGCCTGGATGTCTTCCAATAGTAATGAGTAAATGAGCTATAATGCAGCTAGAGGTAAAAGGTGTCACAGATGCATTCTGACACCTCCCACCCACTGTTTTTATTTATCTTTTTAATGCAACCAGGTGATGCCCATAGGCATTTATATAAGACACATTTACTGGCTATCTAACAAAGTTACAGTTTTCCTTTCCTAGCATGTTGCATGCTGCAAACAAAGGTTGGGAACAGAAAGAGAAGATAAAGATGGGTCAGAGGAATACGCTTTATCTGAGAAGGCTCATGTTAAGCAGCTATACTTAAGAGCTAGAATTAGATGAGAGCAAACTTACTCATCAGCTGATGCTTCAGGAAAAAAAGATCATAAATTGAAAAAAATGAATAAATCAAAGCTGTTAGGGATGAGAAAAAATGATGTACAACATTTAATAAAATTAGTCTGAATTTGAGAGCAGATGTCCACTAAAAAGTATTTTCAGTCAAGCCAGACAAAGATAATCTGTGTAAATCTAAAATGCAGAGGAAATAATTATTTATTCTTGTAAAAATGATTTAATGGCATAATTTTTCAATACAACCTATACCTGACTGACTGTAGGAAAGCTATTGCCTCCTAATCCTTATTACTGGCAGCATTAACTCCCATTAAACATTTAGATATTTTGAACCTTGATGTTATTTCTGCCTGTTTAAGCATCATATCATGTGTTTAAGCATCAAATCTTAGTCCAGACAATGAACAGACCACTCAACAACTGTAATTCCACAAACTGAAGTGCAAATACTCTCATTCATTATTTTCTGCTAGAGAGTTATCCGTCAATAAGGACAAGTTGTTCTCAAACCAATGACAGAAGCAATAAACTACCTGACTGCCACCTCTGAGTTTAGCTGTAGGATTGATTTTTCCTTCTATTAATTCTTCTAGTTTTTCACGGATTGTAACAGGATGTGCATCCTCTGGATGGTTTCACCTTTTTGTTGTCAGTTTTCCAAAAAGTTTGGGGGATTTACACAATGCTCTTTTAAGGCAAGTGTTAGGTTGGGTCTCCTCAGAAAAAAAGTTGTCCGGTAATGTGAATTAATAAGTATTCTATTTTGATGATGGTAATGCAATTTTTAAAGCTAGTCAAAGCTGAACCAAAGCCAAAAATCCTCTGCTGGTTTCCAAGTAACAATTCGTGTAAACCCAGTCAGAGATTTGGAGCATGTTTGCATACCCTCCGGCTCCATTCCAACACTTTCTAATATTGTGTCAAACTGAGCTGGGCTGAAAGAGAAGAAATTCAAACCAGGAGATCATTAGCAGTCAAACTGGGATTTAAGCGTTAAGCCAAAATAACGACCGTAGTCAAGGAATGAGCTTGGCACGTAGTCCTTTTCCTTTTCTTTCTGCTGTTCTTTCTCCTCTTCAACAACGATTTTAAACGACAGAGGAGCTGACATCTTTGAAAATGGACCTAAAAGCGAGAGAGTACAGCAGACAACAGCAAAAAGAGGAACAAGGGGAAGGAATTTAAGAACCACAAGGGGCTTCAGTATTAGCAGGGAAAAGGCTTCAAAGCTACCAGTAATGCCCTGGGGCCCAAACAGCAGCAAGGGGTCGGAATGCGGAGCAGAGGAGGCTGAGAGAGTTGGAAATGTTGGAGCGAAAAAGGAGGTGAAGAAAACATGATGAAAGTGAGGTCAGACACTAATGAAATGTTCCATTTATCCACTTCCTTTCATTATGTTAAAATGTAAAGATAAAGTCACCACACATCATGTTGTTTTTTGGAAGATGAATGTCTTACAGTTATCATCTCTGACAGTGTGATATAAATAACTGACAATTTCCTGGTCTTTATCAGGGCTGTATCACAGCAGTGATTGGGCCTATTTCCAGCACCTGAGAGCCTTTCTACCTGCTGTTTGCTGTCAGCAGCCAGTGAAACTTTCTCTTGGGTTAATGACTCCTTTCTAACGCAGGTATTCACTGATTTCAGAGATGCAAAGAGTAAACATGACAGTAACTGTGTGTTATATGCAGGAATCTTCCTCAGTCTAATCAGGAGCTTGTATATACCCACCAGGATCCCACAAGGAACATCTCTGTTCCTTGTGGGCTTCCAATATAATGTTGGAGCAATATAAAACCTAGAGCTTTAATAATGTTTTAAAAATCAAGAATTTTATGTAAAAGTTTGAAATCGTTCAATTCAATTTTTCCTATTAATACTTCTTCAAATATCCTACAGTGACTTTAGCCACCACATGCATTTTATCTCCTTCAGTGAGTCTCTTACAGGATTCTGCCTGTTTGTGTTAAATGTAAAGATTTATGTGCCATTTATGTGTCGTTGCATCATGTTATTATTTAAACTATATAACATTAAATTATGCGTAACAACACCACATGATGTAATGGCTTGATAATTAATGTGTTCAGTGGTCTGCAGGCAAAGTTCACCTGCCTTACCCATTTTATCGACGGCTTTCAAAGTTTCAGACCTCTAGCTTGTTTTACTAAAAAAGCTGCCAATTTTTGTACATTTATCATTGACTATTTTCAGAATTTTCATCTTTCATTTTGGTTTTCTCTGCTCCGTCCTTGCTTCTTTTACTCTCCAAATTTCAGACACGAATGACGAACCAAGTGACGTGTTACATCAAGGTGTGCAGGAGGGGGAAAAAAGCTGCCACCATAGGTGTGGGCAGTCCAGGGATGGTGGTAGCAGAGCAAGTTATCCACTTAGGGCTGAATAACGGCATAAAAAAAAAAATTTAAAAAATTAAATCAACAGTCCTTGAGGCCCAAAAGTAAGAATGGATCAGGTCCTCCCGATTAGCCTCTCTGGGCCTGCCTACTACAGAGAAAATACCAACTGCAGACACTCATGATTATCAGACCCAGTAATTAACCGTTCTTTGTTTCAGCAGGTTAAGGTAAACCTTTGTAAAACGAAAAACACTTAAGTCTTGTTCTTAAGAATATTTCCAGTTGTAGGTTCATTTAACCCTGGAAAAGAAATGCTTTAAATAAATAATTAAAACATAAAATTCATGTAATATTTATGTCCACAATGAGGGTATATTAAAGTCAGACCACATCGTACCCCTGACTGTTAAAACCCTTTATTTTTTATATTTAAATGAACACATTCTTTAAAATTCCTTTGGCATTTTAAGTGAACCAGTCAATATTTCTTTACACTTCCTTCAATTTACTTATTTGCTGAAAAATCACTGGGAAGCCTGAAAAAAAAATGAACTACTGGAGGAATGCTGGTTTAGATTTAAGTACTACTAATAAGCTGATTAAATAATATATACGGTAAGAATTAACGGATGTTTTATACCAGAAACAGCATGAAACTAAATCTTTGACAGCTTCTTTGACACCTCTGACGAATGTTTTCATTCTGATACTGAGCTGCTCAGTTCAGTATCACACAGCTTAGTAGGTACTTTCCTGGAGGCACAAATTGTTTGATTAGCCTGTCAACTGCAGATTTAGAATATGTGACAGTAATGCTTTAACCTTTCATTGACCTGAATGGAGGCATGGAACTTACAGGGCTGCCATCAATCTCTGTAAAAAAAAAAAAAAACAAGAATGGGGGAGGCACATTGATTACATCAAGGTTGCAAGCCAGTCACTCTCAAAATCAATCAGAAGGAAGAACACTTTCTTATCAATCAAACCAAAATTTGCTAGATTAAAAAAGCTGAGACTTTTGAACATATCCCAGGATTTAGAAGCAATTAAGCAAACATATATGCTAGAAATAAGATCCACCAGAAGAGGTAATCCATTAAAACAATATTTAAAGCTAGTAGTAATCACATTAAGATATACCTCCCTAGAAAGGACAATGTCTCAAAGATATGATTTTAGTATATGCTTGGTAGAAGCAGGTGTGAGGTGTGAGTTTGGTCTTCAGAACGTGTCTTTTCCTAAGGGCTCTTAGCACCAGTTAGAAGGAAACTGCAACAGGATTAAATGAAAAAGGAGAATAAAAAGTAGGGTGATTGGATGAATAGTTTTGTAAGCCTTATTCTGACCTACCATCAATTTGACTGTGCAATTATCAGACAACCATTCCCAAGGATATGCTTTAACTATTTTGCCGAACTACTACCAATGACATACCCAACTACGAGCATTGACATGTCCCCACTACGACCAAAGATCGTAGTGCATCATAGTGGTCTCTTTAATATCCATATACCATCATTTGGTGAGTTTGTCAGAAAGCATAGGACTCTTTTCCACTGTTATGCTGATGTTGCTCAGCTATGTCTGTCCATAAATAATGATGAATCTAACCAGTTACAGTAGACTATAGGCATTTCTTGTTGATGTAACCAAGATAAGTTAAAATTTTGTTATTTTGAATTCAGACAAGACAGAAGTTACTGTCTATGGGCCAGAGTCTCTAAAAACAAGGTGATTAGTCAGTTACTTTACCTAGACAGGGTAGCGCTTGCACTTATATAGATATTTGAACAAGACTTGTTATTTAAATCCAATATTGACCAGGTTTCTAGAATATCCTTTAGCGATTTCTTCAAAGTAAATGACACTGCTCGCAAATGTTAAATACAGTACATGCTCACCAGAGGAGAAGCAAATTCTGCAATGTCAGTAACTAAGTGCAACCAGCTGGGTTTTCCAGCTGACATTTAAATACATGATGTGTTGTAATTTGGTGCTAAATTAGTGTTAAACTGAATTGTCTGAAATTGATTAGAATGAAAAACTGAGGATTAATTCAAATGCATAATCCAGTCAGATTTGTTATCTTTTGAAAAAAACTGTCATAAGAGAAAGAATTAAACACCAGATAGTGCCTTGATATCAGGCTTTTGTCTCACTCGTATACCAAACTGCACATCTGCTCCTGCAGTTTTTAAATTCCCATCTCATAGCTTTGTGGATGAGAAAACCTCAGTTCAAAGAATATATCTGTAAGTACTGGTGGAAGATTCCAGCTAAGATCTTTTCCCTGTCTTGGTAGTTCCCTTTATTTGGAACAAAGTTTGATATGAGGGGAAAGGCTCAAAGAAAGTTACTCACAGATCAGGTGCAGGGTGTGAGGTACAAAGAAACAAAATTCTCTAAATCTAAAAAGAAAATCAGTGCAAACAAAATCTTTATCCAGACCAAATCCCAAAATAGTGATCAATTCTGTTCAACTGTGAAAATGCTCCTCACCGAAGCAACACTGAGCTCTGCTTGGTAGCCGGATCATAGCTGTCAGAAGGAGCTGTACAATCAATCAGAGGTGGACTTGTTGTAACATAATGTGAATAGATTATTAAGAAGAATATTGAAACAGGAGTGAGCATATTTTAAAGAGACCTTGGAAATAGCTGCTCTTTAAGGAGAAAGGTCAAGCCTGAGCTGTTTCTATATTTTTCAGGTCACATAATCCCTATTTCTTCAATAAGTACCAACATTGATTTCATAGGACTTTTTCAGGTATCATGGATTTTCCTTGGTGGTCACACTGTGCTATAATCCATACATTGTGCTTTATTTACTTGGCGATGCATTGCTGCTGTGTGATGTAGTTTTGTTCTGTCTCTTTGTTATGAAAGAGTCTGGAGGCTGTTTGATTGAGAAATGAGATGCATTGTCTAAACGACTGAACCTCTAGGCGGCGGGGACTGGAAAATAAAGCAAAACAAAAAAATCTCACACACAAGCACTCATAGGTTACAGCACACATACAGTTCTCTGTCCCCGAACAGTCTTGTCCACCACCCATCCACCAAATTTGTATCTCTCACTCTCTCCCTGTCTCATTTTGCATCACACTGCCTCTGGCTGTGTGCAAATTCACTCGCTGTGCAAATGGAAAGCAGATCTGCACTGTACAGTTTCATTTGGTCTCATATTGCTGCTGCAGGAGAGTCTCTTCATGCTGCTCTCCAGCTTTTTCAGATTAAATTAAAGATCATTCATGCAAACGGATGCACATACAATTCATTTCATATTCGCTGTCACTGTTTGTTCTCTATGTCTCTAAGGCCTGTGTCATCCCTTTGGCTTGGATTGTGTGCAGAGACCTCAGAATTAAGCTAAGTTTGCCTCTCTATAACATAACCTTTACAATATATTGAGGACCTGCAAGAACTGGTGTCCTCTTAACTGTTCAAGAGTTCAAGAGCCCATAGGAAGGCATGGAAGTTTCATTTTTCTTTTTTATCTATCCCTTTTTTATTTTTGGCACTGTATGCTGAAAAAGCAAATATCACAACTTCTTTTTTTTTTTTCTCTCTCTATCTTCTTACAGATGCGCAGCACTCGAGGTGTTTCTGTTTGGCCCGTGGGGTTTGTGGGTGGCCGATCATATGAGCGCCCCCTGGTGTCCGGGGGGAAAGTTGTTGGATGGTACACTGGCTGGAGACCAGACAGACCCTTTGCTACAGACATGGCAGGTAAAGAAAGAACAAAGAAATGTGAGGTGTGCTGTAAGAACTAATACCAAAGTGACAGAATGTCGTAAAAGAGACTATGTCAACTTCCTACACAAGTCAATTGCCTGCTCAGGTGAAGAGGTTCTAGTAGCAGCAATCGACTGCTGGTATGACTGCTTTAAACAGTAAAAGCAACTGATAAATGCTGTAACAGAACTTGTCTAGTGAAGGTTAAGAAACAAACCAGTCATCCCTGCTGGCAGGAGAGACTAGTTGCTGGACAATATGTCCCTATTTCTAACATAAATTACCAGCAGAAAGCATGGCACTCCCACCGACTGCCACTCTGGGTCCCTGAGCAAGACGTTCTCATCTTAATGTTATTATTATTAGACCTTGGAAGAATATGTTTATTATTTATGAACAAAATGCTTCCCAGCAAAATGTTTGCCAGATTTACTGCTGTTTCAAGGCTGGTATGTTTTGCTAGTATTTCCCTATGCACAGCTTTGTGCATTACATCTCCACTTTATCTTTTACTCATCTAGAAGGAGTTTGTGCCAAGGTACATTTGATGTTTCTTTTTCTAATGTTCCAGGTATGACATTAAAACTACCAATATTTCTTGGACTCTTGGGCTCTAAGTTAAAAGTGTTAAAAGGAGCTCATAATTCTTCACACATTGATAAAAACTGTAGTTACTGCTCAGAGGTCAGTTCTGATGTCCTTCTGCCTTAACATTGTGTTAATATGGCTGTATACTCTAGAGCATCCTGTACTCCTGCTATCATAGAGGTGACCAAACTTATCATGTACACCTGATTATGTCGTAAAATAGGGGAGAAAATTAGAAAAGATATGGAGTGTCAGGATGTTCATTTTACCCTTCCAGTCCATTGCTCTCACCAACTGACCTAAGAGTTCATATTGTGATAAAGCAGACTTTTTATTTTCTAAATCAGACTGTGGGGTGTAGGGTGATTAGAGTGAGGAAGAGGTAGACTCACTTATACAAATTTCACTCGAATACTCATTTGTTATTTTTTGTTTTTTTTTGCTTGCCATTAAAAGAAGTATGATGAGAAAAAGCAGACTTTATATATTTATCAGACTGCGGGGAGGCCAGACTGAGTTTGGTAACCCCTGCACCCCTACGCCTCCCACCTTTCCCTGAAGAGAAGGCTAGTAAAAGTGAACCATAAAGTGAACCATAATGTCCAGATTGTGTCAGGCTGAGTGTATGTGGGATTCTACAGCACCTCTTCAACCTTAGCCTGACACAGGAGATGGTTCCTTTGTTGCGGAAGACCAACTGAGGCTCTGACACCCCACTTCATAGAGATCACAGAGAGAGACTCCTATTGGTTCACCTAGGCAAGCAAGCAAAAAAAGGGGGCTATAAGGACCCGCATAAGTTTGCTTCTCACTTTAGGGTTTGAATTGAAGATGCTATCAAACATCTGCTTCGACAAACACACCATCATTCAGGCAAAGCAGACTGCGCTGAGGATTAAGTCCTTTTATTTGTCTTGTGCATAAATATCCTGCCTGATTTGCTTTGTCTGAAGCTCCAGAAAGCTCAGGTGGAGAAGAAGCAAATTCTACATACAACAAACATACTATTAAGATCTACAACAAGTGGCTAAATGAAAACCAATAAGAATGGCAACATCTAATTTCCCTTTTGGAACAATACTTTATTTTTCAATTGAAATAAATTTAATTGACATTGCTTAGGCAAAATACACAGAAGTGCTCGCTCCCCTACTTTTCAGAGCAGGAAGCAGTTGCTCTACTAGCTCCATTATTTAGACATTGATGATAATCCACTAATCAAATACTTTAATCAGCTTCACCCACTGTGGCTGCTACTATGAAAGCAGCAAGAGTGTACTTAGTTTTCTCCAAAAGTAATTGTTGCTGTCACCATGATAAAAAGTTTTCTCACCAGAGACATTGAGAACTTTGTTCAGCTAAGTTCCTTAATGGCTTTTTATTGCATACCAATTAATGAGTTATTGTCTCAGACCTGCTACAACTCAAGCATAATTAGTATCCATTAGTTTAATTATTCGTCAGCTTAAAATGAACACAATAGTTTCAGTTCATATCTAGTAATAAACACCAAATCTTTTTTGCTTTTATATTTTTCTGTGCTCACCACACACTGTAGAAATACTCCATCTTCTGCTTTTTACCTTGTAATTAGGGGTCAGTGGCAGACAGACTGGTTAATTGACATCATTAAAGACAATCAGACTGGGTGGTTAAGAAAGAAAAAAAAAATATCATAGCCTTTTATGTTTCTCTTTTAAGCTCTCAGGACTAGTTAACTGAACAGCCTAAATCAGAGTGAACATTTTGAATTGTTGGCCACCTTTAGGGGAAAACAGAAACAGTAATTTTGTTGCACTCTCTCCCTGAGCGTGCCCACACAAATCACGCTGCTTTTAATTGGGCCGCTGTTTTTTTATGGATTAATTTTCCATAAAATGAGATCTGATCTTTCCAATTAAATGTTCCAACTGTTACCCCTCCACAGAGGAGCTGCTGCATGTCTTTGCTTCATAGTTTATTCCTCAGATAAATCGTCAGGCAGGATTCAAGAGCCTCGTTAAATAAAACGGGGCTGATAAGCTGCAGACTAAATAGTTTCAAGAAACCCAATTCTCTGATGGTACAGTGTCTCTTGGATAAAAGTTTGAAGTTAATGTTGGATTTCTCAACAAACATTGAATTGACTAGAAAATATTACGAAACATTGCTCGGTAGTGTGAGTTTATGGTATTCTAGGAAAATAAAAATGGTTTGGTTGGATTAAATGTACACTTCACATTTCAGAGTAAGCCATGCAACCCAGAATCTTATCTGTAGATGCATTCGATTCCTCAATAGAACATGACTTCAAACTTGCTGGAGGCACCTCTGTTGAAATGCACAGTAGTAAGATGTTTGCTGCATTTTGTCACCAGGTTTGCACGTTTCAACTGGGATTTCGGTCAGCTTTTGTTTTCTGGGCTGCTGCCTTAAAAAGCAAAGCTTCAGCTCAATCCATAGATTTACTGAAGAACTGATATTTTTCTTATTTGCTACTCTTCAGATACTTTGGTGGCCTTTCTTGAGTTATTGTCAGCCTTTGTGACTCATCCACCTTCCATCTTCAGAATTCTGACTAAGGAAAAATTGTGTGAATCCAGGCTTTTATGGTTTATGGAACTCTCTATAGGCCTTTAACTGATATAAAGTTATCATTGCTGTACAGTCAGCTAAAAAAATAGACTTAAACCATGATGTAACCAATGTGCTTGGGAATAAAGTTGGTCCTAATCAGCATTTCTAATATTTCTAGTAGAATTGGCTGGGTTGCTGCTATTCTAAGTAGATGTGGGTTCTATAGAGGGAGGCTGTGATTCAACAGCCTTTAGATCCCTGACTGCACAACTGTCAAACATCAGGTTAAACCTCCATTCTAGTCACCCCTCCATCATCTTCCTCTCTAAGGATATAGTGAGGGGCCTCAAGGAGTCTATTTTAACAGTACACCTGGTTACCTGCTGATAACCTGATTGGCCCTGTTCTCAGACATTCTACTGATGAGTTAGGGAGTGTATTGCAGCACCTGGTTCTAGGATCATCCCCAAATGCTGGAAGCACCTCACTGTCAATCCAAATTCCTAAAAAGAGCCATTTTAATTAGCTAATCAAAGTCACTGACAACATCCACAAACATTTGGAGATTCCCAGCTCCTCCGTCATGCAGACTTTTCCACCGACTTTAAGACCCAACCTCATTTTCACTCTGCCAGGTGTTAAACATGAGTTGACATGTTTACATAGAAAATTAGTAATAGTTACGAGATACTTCTTCAAAAAAGCAAAAAAAAAGCTCATTTTTTTTGTTTCCTGCTTTTCTCATCTATTTCTGTTAAACATATAATAAGTGACATTAAGTAAAACATCATAACTGAAATATTCACTGATCTTAGGACTGACCAATCGTTATAATGTTTTTTACTTCTGAGCATTTTTTTGTGGTTTTGTGGACCTTAATTACCTTAAGCATTTGTTTCACTGTGGAGGGAATATTGGAATATTTTGAAGTACATTTAACCTGTGGATCCTGATTGCAGCTCATTGCTATAAATCAGGATTAGAGTCGGATTGGTCTGTTTTGTCGTTTGGTGACAGCCAACATTTTTTGTAAAAGTTAAAACTTTTTACATCTGGATCCGTAGTGGATTTTAGCGCTAGTTCAAAACTCAAAGGTTCTTCAGGGTGATTTTTATGTCTTTCGGTGCATTTTGTTAACACACAGTCCAGCAAACTTCCCCAATCCCTGCTCTAACCTTTTTAGAGTCCTGGCCCTAAAAAATAACAATTTTCATAAAGTATGAAAAACTAAAATTATCACGCTGAGTGATGGAAATCATCTTATTCTAGCATTGTTTGAAAATATACTGAATAATAAAAACCAGCAACCTTATTCTAAAAACTAATTAAAACTGTCTGAATTGAGGGGAAATAGGTGCAGCCAACTATCACTCAAATAATCAGTCTACTTTATTTCTGTAGCAAATTTAAAAACTGCAGGGTTAACCAAAGTGCTGTACACAAAACAAGTTAAGAATAAATAAACAAGATTTAAATGGACATAAAAACCAGTTTCACAACACGATTAGCGCCATAGTAAACTACACAGGTCTCAAAAGCCAAGGAATAAAAATGTATTTTCAAAAGAGATTTAAAAACAGCAAAAGAGGAGGCCTGTCGGTTACTGAATGGTAACCTATTCCACAATAGAGAAGCTGCTACAGCAAACATTCTGTCTCCTCTGAGCTTCAGCCTGGTTTTAGGGGAGGTCAGAAGCAGCCGATCAGCAGACCTCAGTGATCAAGGTGGGCAATAAGGCGGAAGCAGCTTCAATAGATATGGTGCAGCGAGGTTGTTCAGACATTTAAAAAGAAATAACAGCAGCCTAAAATGAATTCTATAATAATAACTAAACTAAACTAGAATAAAAA